CGACTGCTTATTCGCCAGACCCGGAAGCCTGCTTATTTCGCAGCTAACCTTCCAGTGAAGGCCGCGCCACTATCCGCAACCTGTGGACGTACCAGGTAGCCAGCAGCTAAGCTAACGGGTAACCCTCCTTTCCTGGGTAACCCGCCTTCCTAGTCACTTACAGCCAATAGTCGTTCGGTAAACGCCGCTGCCTCCTGCTGTTTAATTGTTTTGAGTATTAAAATCAAATCGATTAACTCAAGTACTGACAGATTTTAATTAGCTAAGGCCATCTAATTTTTGTAACCGGCAGTACGCAAGAACTTCTAATCCGGCCGACCAGCACCTTTCCACCTTTACCCACACGAAAAACAACATTAGCCAACGAAAGCCAATATAGAGTTCACATTTTATGCCAGAAATTGCGATGTCAACCGTTTAGGGTGCCTGTTCGACGAATTTCCTAACAGTCTTACCATTCTAGTTTCCGTTAACATTCCACAGATCAAGACGATGAAGTCTTTCAGTTAGCTCTGGCAGCTGCGGGTAAGATGCTTCTTCCTTGTACTAGTCAGCAGCTTATGTTTACGCGGAGCCAAAACATATGTTAGTGAAGTGACCCTTTATTGATTCGTGAACTTGTTCGCCTTGAGGTGATTATTGCACATGCCAAAAGTCTAATGAAATTAGGACTGCTATTTCAATTAGCTCTTATCCTGACATATAAAGGGGATGGACAAGTTAATTATCAGTTTCAGCATGTTGCAAAACCAACACAGATCCTTAACGGGAACGGGCGACCTTGGCTATACGTCCGAAAGAGTTAGTAGTCTGACAAAGGGACTTAAGATTTACTTACGTATTTCTAATCCAGTCTGGGAAAATATGTACCAATCTTCTCATAGATTTTGTCGAGGCCAGGCAACGTATCAGAGTGCGTCGGTGAAAACCTTGTCATATACCCCGTCTAAAGAAATACCGTTAATAAGAACTCGCAGATGATGTCCAAGAAATTATAGTCAACATGGAAGTTCAGACTTGATTACGGATTGAAAGCTAGTAAATATAGGTTTTCTGAGGAACATAGCCGCTCAGTTTGGGAAAGATCGTCATAGCTCACCGCACAGCTTATTAACAAAACTTTAAGTTCTTTTATTTGGTGGGTTCTTTAATAATTGATCTAAACGATAGCAGGCTCCACCATTTTTAATTGTTGATGGCCAACAGAACTGAAGTTATGAAGATACCACGGCAGTCAGTTGCAACTTACTGTTCAGATATGCTATCCTCCAGTTTCCACTTGTTGCAGTATCAATTCATTTATTGTGCGCCTGCAAGACTACGAGGCCCACCCCAGTTCCTAGGTAATTCAGCTAAATTACTTCTCCGTTAGACGTCTGTCTTAGTAAGTATGATATCCCCTTCGTCGTATTTTGCTTATTAGATTATCCCAGTATACTACTATCCGCAATTTACAGACTTATTTGAGTAAATGCACTCG